GGAATAATGCAAATCTTCAACACGTTGCTCCAATTTCTACTATTTACAACGGTTCAAAAAATTAACAACTTTCCAAATTTGTTCCTACTCCAAGGGAAAAGAATCCTTCTCCATTATAACACGCTCTCTTAAAATTTCCAATTTCCAATTTATATTCCATCCAATAACTACGATCTAAAATCTTTCCTCCAAAAAAAAAAAAAAAGGAATCACATCTCTGCACACGACCTTCTCGTCTCTGTCCTTCGCCACGAAAGAATCACAAACATAAAAGACGCTAATAAAAAAGAAGATTAAAAAAAAAAAAAAAGAAGACAATACGCGATTTACCTCCGTCTTTTGGACTGCTGCGCGTCTGCTGCATGGGTCTGCTGCATGTGATGGGGCGATAAGTTGGTCCCGTAAGTGAGCAGCTGATTTCCGGCGGTTGGGCAGGCCGGTGGGGGCGGCGGGGGTGGCAGTTGGTAGCCGACGGACGTGGCCGAGGGTATGTAATGCGAGGGGCCCGCTCCCGGGCCCAAACCCACTCCATACCCGCCGCTACCCGTCCCACCCCCGTACATACCGCTACCACCCGGATACTCTATTTTGCCGGCCTTTTTGCCACTTTGATCGAACGGGGAAAATTCGTTTTAAGCAGTTTCCTACAGTTGTCACGTGGCCTGCATTCAAGCGTCCATCTTGGTGGCCACGATTCGTTACTGTTCTTTGTAATAATTGTTGTTATAGGAGGGTGTGGAAATTTCAATTAGAGAGATTAAGTTGGTCGCTTGTTTTGTGTTGGGGTTCGAGATTTGCTTCGGTTGAAATGAAGTTTTTTGGAGGGGGGGGGGATTAAAGTCTGGTTTCTTATCAGTGTTTACGATTATTGGGTGGAACGAGGATGGAAGAGAGGATGGTAGAAATTAAATTATTCATAATTCCATAAGATCAGTTCATCATCCTGTTGCTAATCTTAAGAGGAGATTCTACGTGGTCGGTTTAAAATAAACTTTCCTCCATTCTTCAGGGTTATCGCGGAATCTCGAACCTCGAAGATGGCTCGTAGATTGCACAGGAAGTGTCCTCGGGGATTACCTGGATCTCCTTGGTTCTACCATTTTTCTACCGATACGAGTTCAACATCGACTTCTTTCGTCGACTTTCTTCGACGAATCTCATGCTTCTTGCACATTTCTCTTCTGCGTTAACTTTTCATTAATTTTATTCCACCAGTTTTGAATTCGATAACTAAATAATATCGGGTTGGAAGATCGTAATAGGATTGCAGGATCAAGTTATCGTGTCATCTGGTTCCCGAAGATCTATGTTCAAAAGATCTCTGATACTTTATACCCTGTTCACAACGGCTTTTGCCAAGATGTTCCAGCCTTGTTATTCGTAGATATCTTCCTAGGGAATTTTCCCTCCAGAGATCCAACAGGTATTTATGGATGGCGCGCGAAGGAATTGACTACGATTCATTCACCTTTGTTCCAATCACGCTAACATGAAAACATCGAGTTTCTTTTATCTCAAATCAATTTTCAAATAAAAGTTTCGAGTTTTTCTAAAGTTTGGTCAATGCTTATCTTCTGTCCAGAATTTCCTTTTTTCCTCGATAACTTTTAATTATATATTAATTTGTGTCGATCAAATAATCTGAATTTTCACTCCCTCGTGATAAATGTTTCTCAACAATAAATAATTTTCTGTAAAAATTCCACTGTTGTATTTTATTCGGAAGATTTCAATTTTAATCGAAGCTTAACTTCCAGCGTGATTACGATCAAATCGTGATCGATGATTCGACGGAGCATTGATCGATATCGTTTTGGAAATCGCGCACACACCATGGAACATTTTCATCGACCAGCCCGAGCCATTACTCCGCGAATGAATGCAGACAGAATTTCGTTTCGAAGATTCTCGTTCCTGGCTCCATCAGATCATCGATCGATTTCCTGTAAATCGAGCAATTCGAAGCGAAAATCGAACGGATGCCAAAATTTGCGCCTGATTTCTCGCAAGAACTCTTCTTCCTTCAAACAATCGTCTCGATCTTCTTCGCTTTCTCGCGTGTATCTCGCACAAGATACGAATCCAAGTCTTGCATCAACTCCATCGGATCTTTCCATTCAAATCTTCCACAAAAATTCCCTCACATTTCCAATACCGACGTCCATTCGTCCAACGTCCTCCAAACTTCTTCCAAACTAAAATCCTAAATCTCTTCTCAAATCGTTCCTCGATCGATCCTATCCACCAACGAGAAACTTCACTTCGTCACACTTTTTCACGACCGATAAAATTTCCATCCATGCCCGAATATTAATTATGGATGCTCGAAATCGTGGAATAAGAACGAGATCAACGAGTTTTCAGGCGGAGGATACGCCACGGCACGTGCGCGATCGGTGGCGGTGCTCCAGAGAGAGAGAGAGATAGATAGAGAGAGAGGACGGATCGATGGCTTCGATCGCGATCTATGGGATATTTTAGCCACGTGAAACGGGACGAGAGGAACGGCGGAACGTACGCGGAAACACGTTTCGTAGACGGACGGACGGATGGGTCGACGACTAGTCACCACCCACAACTCGCCAGTGACTGATTCCACCATAGCCGCATAATGTGCCGCTGTGCTATACCCCGGTAAGGACTATCACTTCTCCCACCAGAGAGCCACGGAACACAGCCACTGTGTAAAGCATGACTTTTAACCGGGATGCATTCGTCCTCGTTCAGCGCGTTACACGCTCGCGAGGAGGGCGAACAGGATCGGGATTGCTCATGACCTGGTCCCAAGGATCGACAACCAAAGAAGGAGGTCCGTTCGAATAGTTCTCCAACGTGTGCAGGAATTTTTTTTTCTCTAAGAGATTCTCGAATCTCGGTTATTTTTCTTTATTATTTGGAAGATCTGTAGTTGTAATCGATCGTCGACTCGATTTTTGGGAGGAGGGGGAGGGGGGTTTGTTTTTGGATCGTGAAATTCTTGTGATTGTTTCTTTAAATTTTTTTCCTTCTTCTCGAAAGAAGTTTGGAGAGAATAGAATTTTTTATTCTATGTACAATGAAGATTTTAAATGTTAATTAAAGAAATATGATAAATCTTTGTTTCGCGTTGATGGCAAATTTCTGAAGATTTTTCTGCTTTTTGTTGAGCAGAAAACTTCTTTGACGTTTGTGATTCTTTAAATTGTTCTTATGAGAGAACGTTAAAATTTTTATTACGTTCTTCGTTCTTTCTTGGAAGATTTAGGATTTTTGAGCAGATTTCTATAGAATTTATCGGAATCTAAGTAAGTTTTTAACAAATCAGGCATGTGTACAATCTTTTAATTTAAGATTTCTTATTAAATTTTCATATAAACTTTTGTTCGATTCTTAAATCTCATTAAGATGTTTTCTTTGATACAAAAAAAAAGTTTCTTTTATATCAACTTATTACATTAAATATTATTATAATATCTCATATTAAATTTTGATGAATATTGATATCGAATTTATTTAAAAAAAAAAAAAAATAAGTATCATAAAATTTAATTGAAAAAGCATTGCTTTTATTAATAAATAAAAATTTAATTTCCTTCTCCAATTCGAAAGAAACGATAACAACATCTTAATCGAAAATTTACTTTGTCTATTGTGTTACCTATTAGACAGATGAAACGACTTATTAGATTAAAATGAGACAAACTAATGAGAGCCATCGAAGGAAGTAAGTTATTACATCGAATCGTTGGTGTAGTTATCGTTTCAAATAATGTATATTTTATGTAATAGATATTTATATAATATGTGTATTATTCTTTATACGTGATTTAAGCAGTATTATATTTTTATTTTCTTTATATAATACTTCCTTTTATCAAGAAACATAACAAAATTAATATAAATATAAACAAATCACAATATGAAATTTTTTTTATTAAAAACATCTATCGTTTGTAACGATTTCTTAAGTTCCTTTCGTGCAAAATTATTCTCAAGGATTTTATAATAAATATCGTAAGAAATAAAAATGTTAAATATCTAAGAAATATCAAGAAAAGAAGAATTATAAGACTATTAAAATTTTTTAAATTTCTAAAGATTCCAGAAGAAAGAAAGATTAAGATTTTTTATTATAATAATACTTGTTTTAAATAAATATAATATTACTAATACGTTATATTGTAATAATAACTATAATTCTAAATATTATTATTAATAAAATTCTATTTATATTACATCGTATCCCTTTCATCTTTAAACCTTCTTTGCTACATCGATCAAAAACAAGCTTATCTCATAATCGTTTATAGACGTGCAAATTCTATTTCAAGAAGCTATCCACCAAGATATCGTAACAATCGTACAATGTACATTTACAAGGTAAAAGTATGCAATGCTTACGATAACAAAATGTTTCTGACGCGATGTCGCAATCGCTGGTGTAAAGGAATATTAGCGGACATCGACAACTCAGAAGTCACCTACCATTGTTAGACATCGTAATCTGGCTCATTGTCACCACTATAACGTTTCTTGGAATCGTGTTAATCGAGAACTTAAAACTTGTCTCGTTTATAATATGCGATTAGTAAAATATTACGTCATTATATAGATAATAATATCCATAACAAAATTTCACTGCAAAATATTTTTTATTCTTTTTTTATTTGTCCTTATCTTCTACTATTTGAGTAAAAGAGAGGTAAAAATTTAATATTTTATTAATTGCAAAAAAATAAATTGGATAATATATAAAAATATTTGAAAAATTATTTTAAAAGTTTTTATATAGTTAAATTTAAAAACTTAATGCTATTAAATGAAAAATATAAAAGATAACATGAACTTTTAATGATAAATTTGATTATATTTCTATTTATAAATGAAAATTTTGAATTAAAATTTAGAAAATTTGATTAATTTAAAAAAAATATAAAAAATAATTTTAATAATCCAATAGTTTAATAACATTTAATTGTTGTAATGATAATAAATAAAAAAACAATAATTTTAAAACTTACCCAACATGTGACATACTTGCACCACGCTTCTGCGTCATCTTGTTCGGGTCACTCCCTGAAAAAATTATAAATAGTAAAGATCAGGTTATAGAATTTAATATTTATAAAAGCTTCTAATAATTCATTATTATCAAACATAATAAATTGAATATAATAAATATGATAATTCCATTGCTATATGAATATATTGAAAACATATTTGTATATTTATTACTAAATATTACTAAACATGTTTGTTATTTTCTTCTTATTTTGATATTCTACCATTAAAATGAATTATAGTTACCATATTCATATAATATCTATAAATTTCAATATTATATTCAACACAAATTAAAAGAATTGTAAAAACTTTCATTTCTTTTTAATTATACTTATTTTTTTTACATCAAAACTGTACATGTAACTCTATACATACTCTTATCAATCAAAATCATTACTTAAACATAGAATCAAGGAAATAAGAGTTCATACTACAGTAAAGCAATGAATTTATATGTTAAATACGATAAGTCACATAGAAAATAATTTACATTTTATGATAGAAAAGCGTCCTACTTAAGGAAAGATAAGGAATGATGTTCTAAAATTTGTTCGAAAATCACTTGTTCTGAAATTTTCTAGAATTTTTCAAACTTGAAAAGTTGTTTTTGCTCACAAAAGAAAATAAATTTTTTAAAAGTTTTCAGTAAAATAGCACATATACATTAAATTGATTAAAATGAGAAAATACTTTCAATGTCAAACAACTTCGATACATACCTGGTATGGAATGGGCGATCGTGGATACAGTAAACATTCGGTTAAGAAATGTCGTTTGAGAACAATAATTGAGTCTATTAATACTTATCGACACTAAGTGAGTAAATTGAAACGGTAATTAATTGGAAAATATCTTTTTAAACGTTAATTACCGAAATGTTGTACAATTAAAGTGGTCTTAGTGGCGCCACCTACGAGCATTTTTATTGCATCATCGAATATGCTGTTGAAACATAGTATCGAAAGTCGGTTTTAAAATCTATGACGGATATTACCAACTGTTTTTTACGCGACAATTTAATAAAACGAAACAAAATGTAATCAGAAGATTATATATTGAATATAGTTAATATACGTATATTAAATTCATAGAATAATTTTATTTAAATTTATTTAAATATTTTATAAATAATAACTATAGATATAGAATTTAATAAAAATAAATAAATCATTTTGTATGAAAGACATTTGCTAATTGATTATTACGAAAATATTAAAAATGTTAAAATATTATTATTAAGTAACGATTATTCTATTAAGCGTTATGGTAAAAAATTCGTTATAATAAATATTGATATTTAGGAATATTATTATATATAAATATTTAATAATATCTATCATCAATTGCATCGCTCTCATGCGAACGGTTTAGTGTAATTCGAAATAAGACGCCGTAGCGCCGGTATACCTGTATCTAGCCTGTATCTACTACGCAACTTCCGCTAACTCGCTGCTGAGCAAAATGGACGCCTTTGTGTCTGTTTTCCTCGTATTCATACTATAAATACTGTTTTCCCCGCGATGCACCACCTTTGACATGGCGATGTTTACACGGTACCGTGAAAAATGTAAGTGAAAATCGTGCTGTGCCGCAAATCAAAGTGCATTCCTCGGTGATCGACGAGAAAACGCATCCAACCAAATAGGCCAGAACACGGATGACAATTGAGTGAATATCTTTCACGACGAAAACTTTTTCGAACAAACTCGCACGAACGGGGTCGCTATTTTGGTAGACGTGTAAATATCGACGATTTATACGCGTCGAACGACACGGGAATCTTGGATATCGATACACCTCCCGCCAAAATTCCATTCACTGCTTGTATTCTGCAGTATAAATAATCGTTGTACATAACTAGGTAAGGCAATTGACACAAAACCTTAACCGAACTTTGTTTTCGTTTATCAAATGACATACAATCATCGCAGTTATCATCATTGACTTTAATAATTCTCTTATTTAGCGGAATTGTGTTCATTTGGGAGGTTTCCAGCCTGTAGCATCCTTCTTAAAGCCATGTTATCATATGTATAATGTTGGATGGTATATACTCGACAACTGGAGGTAATAATAACAATATTATGTGATGCTAGTGATTTAATCATTGAATGTTAAATAAATATTTTTTGTAAACTTCTTTGAGTGACACAAATAATCAAAATCATTGAAAGAAATATGGTTTGTATAGAAAAAAAAATGACATTTTAGTTTTATATTCGTTGTGACATTCGTGGAACGATTTTCATTGGAATCTTATGAGGATATCTTTTGACGTACTCCATTTAATGTGTTAGTGATATTATGAGAATATTTGTGAAAAATATTAAAATAATTTTTTAAGTAATTGCTAGTAATTGCAAATTATTTAAAAGTATTTTTATTATATTATTTTTATTGTATATCTATGTATATATGATATATATATATATATATATAG